AATATTGAATTCCATGAGTCTGGACTCAGGGCTCTAGCATCAGCCGAAGAATTGATGGTGGATAGCCGGCGCGGTAGGTCTGGGGCTCCTCTTTCCCCCTCTCGGGGAGGGGGGGAGCTGCGCAGACAGCGGTGCGGCAACGTGTGATGTCATGATCATTTGCTCGTTTCTTTTAGGAGAGTTTTATCCACTTGTTCGGCTTGTGGTAGCAATATTCACCAGAATAGGGGTTTGTTTTGGGACACTTACCTTTCTGGGTGCCTGACCCGGTCGATGGCAGACACAGAATGCTCCAACCACTCGGGGATTTCTATAGGCCATTGCTCTCCTTGCCTCTCTGAGGGGGGCCAGGTTCTGGCTCGTGGTCCCCGGTAGGCCCATAGAACTCCATACCCATTACTGATGCCAAAGTCTGACATTAGCATATCAGCCTGGATAAGCTCCGGGGAGTCGAAGGGGAATGTGCCCCGTCGCTCCGGGGGTGTCCTGGACTACAGCTGTGGGGAGGACGCCGAGGTTTTCCCTGTAACAGGGGTGTGGGCCTCCTCCTTTGCCTCTACCCTGCTCTCCTGCGTGTCCGGTTCTGGCTTCTTCACCTTGCGGTGCTCCCAGGATCATCTTGGCACTGTTGGGTCATGTCACGTTCGTGCCTCCGTTCGACAGGCGAGTTTCTGCGGTCTGGCGTCCTTCGGCTGGGTGCTGGATGTGGAGATGTTTATATACCTGTCTTTATTTAGGTATATTTATGTACAAATGAGACCGATGGAACACTGGTGACTGTCCTTTTTCAACCCTTCCAGTCCCACTCATAGGCATGTCCAACCCATGCTAAAGTCATGGGGGCCCCACCTCTTTCGTGCTATGAGGTGTGTGGGTTGTGGTGCTGGTTATGTACTCACCTGGTAGGACTCAGCTGGTTGTGCTTGTGGGGTTGAGCTCTGGCTCTTTGGTCCTGCTTCTTTGGAAGAACATGCAGGAGAGTACCAGTGGTGTGCAGTGGTGCCATAGGCGCGATCAGGAAACACTGTACAGTATAACCATCAGAGGTCTGCGGTTGTTACACGTCCTGCCTGCGGGCATACGCTATATTGCCACTATATCCATGGACTTCTTCATGAGAACACTAGCCTGTTTTCTAATAGAGGTTCCAGCCCATCCTATCTGTGGTGGGTATGTGGGCCTGTGGGCCGCTCCAAGCAACAGCCTGGTGTACCAACCTCTCACAAGTCAAGCCTAGCCTCGGGCCAGGCTTGTTGAGTATATGAACACCCAGTACCCCATCAAGCAGGAATCGAGCAGGTATCTCCGCCGTCGGTCGCCTGATGTGCAGGTTCCTGGGCCTGCTGGATTCTGCCGTGTCTCCATTGGCCCTATCTGGGGTCGGCCTGGAGTCTGCCTGCACTGTTCTCTGCCTTTGAAGAGGCGTGTTGCTACATGCATGTTGCATGTGGTGCATGTTGCTGCGGCATGTGTGCATTGGTAACGTGTCTCGCGGTGGCATGTCCTTGTTCCTGTGTCATGTTGTGGTGTGGCAGTTTGCTGCTGTTTTCTGCCTGGGGTTTGCGTATGGGGGTTTGCTTGTGTTATTTTCTTGGTCTTCGAGTCCCTGGCTTGGCTCTTCCATGTGCGTGGGGTTCTGTTCACGCTTGATTGTCCACCCCTCGTTGTGTTTCCTGGGGTTTGAGCTTTGGCTCTTTCGTCCTGCCTCTCCCCTGTCGCATCCCTGGCATCTCCTTGCTTGGTTTTGCCTGCACTTGCTGCTGTATGGAAGGGGGGGGAGGTTTCCGCCGATTCCCTTCTATATGCGTTCCCTTTGTTTCGTCCTCTGCCGCAGGGGTTTTCTTCGTATGTTCCTTGGCTTCTTGGGCGTTCCTTCAGCCTGTGTCATATGGTGCGCTTATGTGTCTTGGTCTGTTTTCGGTGTTCGTACCCCTTGGTTCGGGTACTGTTCTGGTGGCACCCTTATGCCTTCTTCGGTTTTCCTGGCTTGCCCTGCCTGTTGGTTTTTTGGGGTCTTGCGATGTCTCGCGTCGGACCCATCGTTTCTGATCTGCTGGAGGGCTTACTCGCATTGGGGAGCTTCTGTTCAGCAATGGTTCCATCTCCTTGTGCTGGCCTGGGCTTTGGTGGTCGCGCCCCAAGATCTTCCCACAGCTCCGCCTTTTCCTGGGCTCGGATGAGCCTTGTCGGGGTTGATTATGTTCTGCCTCGCGTGTCTCGCCTCCGATTGGTGGTCTGGTGGCTTCAGTGTTGGTGTCCCACCTGTGTACTTCTTCTTGGTGTCAGTATGGGGTATTTTGGCGGTCCTTCCTTTTTCTCCTGTCCCTTCTTAGGTGGCTGCGGTTGTTAGCATAAGCTTTGTTTCTGGTGAGGGTTGAGGGCCGTCATCTTGCCACATACTGTCGCCTCGTTTCGTGCGGCGCAGGCGGAGCCGCTTCGGCTTGCTTTCGGTCTTGGTGTTGCTTCTGCACCGTTAGTAAGCTGTCTCGTGCATTGTTTCACCTCCGGCCTGTTCGTGCGCCGCTTGCACCATCCTGGTCTCTGGTCAGCATTCTCTGTCTTCTCCTCGGTTAGTGGTGCCCCTTCGGTTCCGCTTTGTTTTTTGTTGGCTCTTTTTCCTGTTGGCCTTTGCCTCTGGGGATCGGGTCGCTGGGCTTCTTGCTCTCCTCCGCAGGGCTTTTCTGCTCCTTCGGTTTTGGCGTTTTGGTTGTTAGGTGGCAGCAGTCTCCATCCTTTCTGGCACGGGATGGGGCTGCTACGTTTTGGAGGGGTCCTTGGTTTGTTGGTGCTTGGTTGGTCGGGCCAGGGGTGTGTCGTGTTTTGTGTTCAGTGGCGGCCCTCCGCTGTTCTTTGAGTGCCGCAGCCTCTATGTCCGGGGCGCGCTTTGGGTTGATCTGGTTCCGTTCTTCCCTGTTCACAGGTGACGGTGTCCCGGGTTGTTCGCCATGTTATTGTGGCTAGCCTACCTGTGTTCTTTCCCCATGCCAGTGACGTTCGTGGCTTCGCTGCTCTTGCTGCCATTTGGGCGGCGTGTCCTTGATGTCATTCGGGCACAACTCTTTTGGTGTTCGTACAGGGGCCTTGCTGCTCGTTTTTCTTGTGTTGTTCCCGGGCCCTTTCAGGGCTGTGTCGCCTTGGGTTGGCGTTTGCTGCCGGTTGTCTCGCTTCCGTTGAGGGGTGCATGGTGTCCGCCTCTCGGTTCCGTCCCTTTGACCTTCCTCTGTGGGTAGTTAGCTCTGGGAAGCCGACGGGGCTCCCCCCAGAAAGCCAGCGTTGAATGTAATGAAACGCCATTTCCTGGGCGAGACCCGGAGGCTTCCCAACAACCCTCCCTCCCTCCGGTCGGCAGTTTTTCGCGTGTTTTGACATCCAGCCTCAGAACTGATGGGTGGATAGCCGACGTGAGAGGTCTGGGGCTCCCCCTTCCCCCTCCCGGGGAGGGGGGAGCTGCACAGACAGTGGTGCGGTGACGTGTGACGTCATACATTACAGTCTCCGTGGTGTAGTGGTAAGACACTCGCCTGGTGTTCCGCAAGCGCTTTGTCATGGGTTCGTATCCTGGCCGGGGAGGACTTACTGGGCGCAAATCCTTAACTGTAGCCTCTGTTTAACGTAACAGTAAAATGTGTACATGGTTGTAACAACGATTCTTCGCGGCGGGGATGGTATTCCAGGGACCTGCCCGAAATGCTACGCGTACTAGTGGCTGTGCAAGAATGTAACAACTCTGTATATGTCTCAAAAAAAAATATACTAGTTTGCTTGTTTTCTGTTGGAGAGTTCTATCCACTAATTTAGCTTTTGGTAGCAATTTTACCCAGAATAGGGGTTAGTTTTGGAATGCTTACCTATCTGGATGCTAGACCCGGTCGATGGCAGACATAGAATGCTTCCAACCACACGGGGGTTTCTGTAGGCCATTGCTCCCCTTGCCTCTCTGAGGGGGCCAGATTCTGGCCGTGGTCCCCGGTAGGCCCTAGAACTCCATACACATGACTGATGCCAAAGTCTGACATTAGCATATCAGCCTGGTAAAGCTCCGGGGAGCCTATGCTATACCGATGATGATACTTTTCAAAATGCTTGTGCTCTCTAGAGTGGAGTACTGCTGCACAATGACAGCCCCTTTCAAAGCTGGAGAAATTGCTGACCTGGAGAGCGTGCAGAGATCCTTTACAGCTAGAATCCACTCAGTAAAACATCTAAATTACTGGGACCGACTAAAGAGCCTAAATCTGTACTCCCTTGAGCGCAGGCGGGAGAGATACATAATAATTTACACATGGAAAATAATTGAGGGGCTGGTCCCAAACCTGCACACAGAAATAACATCACATGAGACCAGAAGACATGGCAGGATGTGCAGAATACCCTCGTTGAAAAGCAGAGGTGCAACAGGTACTCTGAGAGAGAACTCTATCAACATCAGAGGCCCGAGACTGTTCAACACGCTTCCACTACACATAAGGGGCATAACTGGCCGACCCCTCACAGTGTTCAAGAGAGAACTGGATAAGCACCTCCAAAGGATACCTGATCAACCAGGCTGTGACTCATACGTCAGGCTGCGAGCAGCCGCGTCCAACAGCCTGGTTAATCAGTCCAGCAACCAGGAGGCCTGGTCGACGACCGGGCCGCAGGGACACTAAGCCCCGGAAGCACCTCAAGGTAACCTCAAGGTAAGGTAGCCTCTGGGTTTCACCCAGAAAATGGTGTTTCATTACATTCAACGCTGGTTTTCTTATATGTATCATGAGAACTTTGGGTAACTCAGATGGGGAATCTGCCTTAGATGATGTGAATTAGTAAGTAAATACAGTACTGTACTTATATACATTATTATTAATGAAACCTTTGTACAATTTTGTATTTCTTTTACAATAAATTTAAACCATACGAAGACAACTGTGATCCTTTACATTACTTTGTAGAAACTACTCAATTTGTCTCTATTGCCAGATATTTAGTATTACTGTATTCTATTTTACTATTACACTTACCTTGAAAAATATTTGTAAATATTTCCCTTTTTATGGATTTGTGACCTTTCCCCATCATATTTAGTTTCTGCATAAAATGTCTTGTGAGCCATTTGGACCTCCACTTTCTCTAGGACTGCCCGTTCTGCAAGCATTGGACGGAAAGCAGATAATAGGGAAACGTCAATTTCATGGAGCCTTACCCTGGGATCTTGCAGAGTTTTACAAACCTGGAGGGAAAAAAAGATCAAGAATTGAATGTAGTAAACAATATTTTCTAGAGGACTGTCAATAGTTCTCCAGAGCTTAAAATCTGATTTAGCCAATTCTTAAGAAATACATAAGGCCTTTAAACCCACACTAACCTACAGCTATCCTGGACCAGAGCCTGGCCATCTACATGGCTAAGGAAGCTTGGTTATCAGAGATATACCCAAAACAAAACAAAATTCACTAGTAAGCAAAACCAAATAAGCTACTGCTAGACATAAGAAAACAATCCCTGTTTCAGAGAAACAGTCTTGACCATGATGTACCTGACAGCCTCCAGATGGCAGCCAAAGTTACTCTACTGAAGTACACCAGAAAATGGAGTTTCACTATATTTAATTATTGATTTTTGGGACAGCCCCTTCTTGAGCTCTGAAGATCTTACTCCCATAATACTAATAGCAACAGAAAATGTATAAGTGACTTATCTATGGGAAATGATGGTAGAAGAGGAGGGCTTGAGGTACAGGCGCAACAGCTGTGCCAAACATTCTACCACGGAAACTCGCACCAAGGACTACCATGATGGTGAAATATGGATTTCGGAGTACAATCTTTTCAGATGTGATAAGAAACACCGGCTACAGGGTGGGGGTCAGCCTCTACATCAAGAACACACTCATCTGTACTGAGCTGCTAAACACCACAAATGATATGGTGGAAGTGCTAATAATCAAAATAGAGATCTTAAATGTAGTTATTGTCCTTGTATATAAGTCACCGGAGGCAAATCATCAGCAGTTTAAAGACCAACTAATGAAAATAGAGCACTGCTTGGAAAACCTCTCAAATCCAGCCCCAAACATCATCCTGCTTGCGGACTTCAACCTACGGCACCTGAAATGGAAGACCATAGCTGATACGGTTGTACCAGAGAGATTTCCAAGAAGTAGCCTAAATGAACAGGCACATGCAAATGACCTGCTATGGATGTGCGACAGGTTTGCCTTAAACCAGTAAATGGTAGAACCAACTAGGAAGGAGAACACGCTCGACCTCATTTTCACTAATAATGATGAATTGATCTGGAACATAATGATTACAAATACCCATTACTCAGATCACAACTTAATTGAAATTCTGACTAGCATGGGGAATAAACCTTCAAAACCAGTCCTGATTCCCAATGGAGAAGATTTCAGCAAATTCAACTTCAATAATAAACAGATAAACTGGGAGCAAATAAACCAAGACTTCACAGAAATAAGCTGGGAAGGACAGCTAAAAAATGCAAACCTGAACCAGTGCCTGGAAAAAATAAGCTCAGTAGCACTAGAAATATGTTCAAACCGCATACCCCAAAGAAAAAAAGAGAAAGAGATGCAGATTGGAACTGGAACATCGTTCCCTCTATAGGAGAAGAAAACGAATCGTGGAACAACTTGAGAGTCGCACCTTATCTCAAGAATGGCGAGGGTTAGGTAGAGAAATGGAAACAATTGAACTAAAGCTACAAGAATCATACAAAACCCAGGAGAGACAAAGAGAGCAAAAGGCCATCAGTGAAATAGAGAGAAATCCAAAATATTTTTTCTCCTATGCGAAATCAAGATCAAAATCCACATCTAGTATTGGGCCCCTGCGAAAGGGAGATGGAACTTTCACTGATGACAACAAAGAAATGAGCGAAATACTGAGGAATCAGTACGACTCTGTTTTCAGCGAGCCACTAAACACACTGAAGATTGATAACCCAAATGAATTTTTCATGGATATGATACTGTTACGACCCTGGGTTCTCCAGTGGAAACCAGAGGTCAAAATTGAGCTATTAAACTTTCTGGTAGTACAGTTGAGTGCATCACGAGCGGCAATTGTTTGTATCTTCCCTGCCAGACGTAAGACTATTCTTGTTTCTCAAAGAGCATTTAAAGACTGAGCTGGGGGGTTGATTATTAAATAATAACATAGGCACCAACTTTGCTTACTAATACTTTCTAATCATTTGTAAAGTAACAATACGTTGCATAGGGGAAGATCTTTAATGTGCTTAGCTGCACGATCAATTAGGCTCCTTCCGGCACCACGACATGAGGGAGGCCTAGCTGGTTGCTAGGAGCCTTCTTCTCTGGCTGGCATTCGTGGGGACGATACCTACTATGTGGCTGCACCCCTACTCTCCTCCCTTCTCCTCTTACTTATTTCCCTTACCTGAAGTTCCTGTACCATTAAGTTAAGTACGGGGCATTTTTAAGTGTACCTACTCTGGTAGTAACGATTGGTGAGACCTGGGGGTAGTATTTGCCAGTGTTTTTGGGTACCCCTAAGTGTTGTGTTTTGTATTAGGGTACCACATGGTGTCTCTACCCTAAGCTGCATCCAGCTTCAGTGCTTATCCAGTAGTACTTTACCCTAGCTTGTTCTCAGTGTAAACCTTGTATCCTGTCTATGTGGACCAAGGCTTTTAACGTAAGATAGGGTGGTAAAGTTATTATTATTGTTATTGGTGTGAGTGTATATGGGGGGTTGTTAAGGGGTTAATAAATAAGTACATGAATTATAGGAGTATCCCTTCTTCCTATGTGGGAGTGCGTTGATCAACCCTTAGACTGACATATATGGTCTAGTAGCAAGGTATTATTACTGTGGATAGTTTATTTTGGGGGCCGGGCCTTTTAGCTCTCCCATATTTGATACTCTGTCTTCTAACTACCCTTACCCCTTAATAATACCAAGTCCCCCATAGGAGCCCCACCACACAATATTTTTTATAACAAGTGGGGGCCTGTCCGGGAGGAACATTATAAGTGTAAAAAATTAGATTCTTGAGTGCTAAAACTAAAATTTTTTGTTTTCCGCAGAACGGTTGTGTGCTAGCCTAGGGTCCAGCTCTTCTAGCAAAGGACATTCTTGCACTGACTGGACACCCAGCTGGATCCCTTCACGATTAAGGTTAGTGTGGCCTTGTGTTAGGGGCCGTGCAAATTTTTGTTTTTTTCCAATTTTTATTTTTTAATTTTTTCTTTGGCTGGGAGCTAAAATTATTAGTGATGTCATCTGAAATGCAGAGACTGGCAAGGGAACCTTCAGCAGTAGAGATAAAGAAACTTACCAAGTCTAATTTAGTATTGTTAGGCAAGGAATTTGGCCTAGAATTAAATGACGCGGATAAAAAGTGGACTTTGGTGAATGAAATATTAAAACATTGTATTGATGAAGAACTATTGGCAAGTGATACACCTTTATGCCAGCCTAGCCAAGCAGAAAGTGCAACTCATAGGGATAGAGAATTAGCTCTAGAGTTAGCAAAAATAAAATTAGAGGAGCAAAGACTCAAAACCGAGGAGGCTAGAATTAGAGCGAATGCCACTGGACCTCCACCTGCCAGGGATTCAAACCCCAGGCATTATGAGAAAAAGCATAATTTGCCTGAATTTTCCGAGTCGGACCCTGAAAGGTTTTTCAACCATTTTCAGAGATTGGCCATGTCCATGAACTGGCCAAAGGAAGAGTGGGTGAAAATCCTACAGGGAAGACTTAGGGGTAAAGCACAAGATATTTTTATAAACATGCCTGACGACGAGTGTTTTGAATATGATAAAGTCAGGGAATGTATTTTGCGGGCATATGAAATTACTCCTGAAGCTCACCGCCAAGATTATCGCAACCTTAGGCCTACTCACAACCAACCGCTCACTGAATTTGTTAGTGATCAAATTAAATTGTTTGATAGATGGATTCGCTCGGCAAAAGCCGAAACATACGAGGCTCTCAGGAACTTAGTTTTAATGGAGCATTTTATAGATATTATGCCAGAGAATGTTTCACATTACATTAGAGGAAGGGTAGAGGTAAATTCTAAAATAGGGGATTTGGCCAAGTTGGCAGAAAACTACCAATTGGCGGGCAAAAGGCCCAATAAAAATAATTATACCCCACAGAGTAGCAAAACTTATACCCACAGCCAGTCCAGACCAGCTCATTCTAACCCTTTACCTAATGCACCTTCTGTTTCAGACATAACTAACCCTGTTAAAGTGTCTAGCCCCACGGCACCTAAGGGTGAACCGAAGGGTAATTCTGTTAGTAATGTCTCTTCTCCCCGACGTTTTTGTGGTCACTGTAATCGTCCAAACCACACTATTAGCCGTTGTTGGCAACTGTACCCGGAAAAAAGACCCAATGCTCTAGTTGTGACACAGGGCTTGAGGCCTTCGGAAGGGATAGGGAGTAAGACCTCCAACCCACAGTGGTTGGACTTGCTTACCCCATTCTTATCGAAAGGGAGACTACTTTTGTCTGAGGGTTCTTCCTGGAAGGACGTGGTGATCTTCCGAGACACCGGTGCCATCCAGACTTTAATTTTAGAGAGTGCGTTGCAAGGTGCCAACACTCTCGACACTGGAGAGGTGGTACTGGTCGAGGGTGTCACTAGTGATACTCGAGCAGTACCCCTCCATAAGGTTACCCTGGAATCTGATTTCCACAAGGGTGTTTGTACAGTCGGAGTCACTTCATACCTACCTTTCCCAAATGTTGATGTAATAGTTGGTAATGATTTAGCAGGGGATAAGGTAGGGGACTCCAGACTGCCTATTATGTTGCCTACCCCTAAGGTTTGCCTGGATCCACCCGCCGCAGAGGATAATGTTGTGTATCCTGCGTGCGCGGTGACCAGGTCTATGGGACTTAAATGTAAGGGCAGCCCTGTGCTTGCCAAGGTGGTAAATCCCGAGGTCACGAGGAGCTTTCCGAGTGGTGAAAACCAAGTGGACCTCGCGGACACATTCATGGCCCGACTCGATGACGTGGCCGAGGACATTGTGGAGAGCCTGCCACCGCCATCTACCGAGAGTAGTGGGGAGGTGGAGGAGAACACTGTTGAGCCTCGGCCAATGGCATCTGACCAAGGCCTAGATGCCTCCTTGAGTGAGTTACAGAAAGCTGACCCCACTCTTGCAGATTGTCATGAGACAGCCGTCTCTATGGAGGAAATTGTAGACGCAGCAACTGGGTACTA